CCCTCCCTCCTTCCTTCCTTCCTTCCTTCCTTCTTCTTTCCTTCCCTTCTCTTGCTTCCTTGCTTTTTTAGTTCTTTGATTCTGGGAAACTATTAAATACAGCAAAAGGAAAGGAGCACAGAAAACAATTACAAGTCTTGTATTTATAAAATGAACCTCCAAAGGATTTCTTATGCTTATTCCTCAAATCCCCCACTCCTACTGGCCTCACATGGGCAACCGGCGCCTCTCCCTTTGGTGGGAGCTTGCGGTCCAGGGCTGAGGTCCGCCCTGGCGTGGACCCCGGGGTCCTGGGTCCGGTCTGCTTTTCTGGGGTCACTTGTTCTTTGTCCAGGTGCTGCCCCCAGACCTCCACACCCCCTGCCATCTCTACAAAGGCAAAACCAGGACACAGTTTTCCTCCTTCCCGCTCACTCCCTTGTCTTGGGAAGGCACTGCTTGTCTGCAGTCAGGATGACTCATTTCTTTGTCATCCTCTCACCCCACTTGGCCCGTCCAGCTGCTTCCATCCCCTTTGTGCAGTGAGGATGGAGCCATCATGTGGTTTGTGTGAGGCTCTTAGGCACTGGATCAGCTCCAGGCTCAGCAAGGCCAAACGAAGCAGAGGACTGATAAGGACTGATAGAAGAGAGACAGGCTCCAACTGTCCCAGAGCAGAAGACAAAAATACACTCCTTCTGCTGATTCTTTAGCTGCAAAAGGGCCTGAGGCCATGCAGCTGCTGGAGCCTTTACACTCAGCCCTCAGTGCATCCCTCCCGCCACCTGGCTCCCCTTCCCCCATTTGTCCAGGGAATGCAAATGTCTTAATGCTCCACTTGGCACTTTGCAATTTTCCAGCATCTAGATTTGTGCTCCACTTAGGATGACGTTGAGCTCTTGAAATTACACAGTAACTTGACGGGCATCCACCGTGTGTGAGGGGAATGAGCTTGCTGGAAGCCCTGGCTGGTTGGCAGGCGAGATGTTCATTGTTTGATTCAGAATTTGCTCGTAAAGTCCTGAGAGGGCAGAGCTCTCCCATCGCCGAGGCTTGGCTGAGATAATGCAGCTGGGACAACCTATAAACGTGAAGAATGATTAACAGCAGGAAGAGAGAGGGGGAATGTGTTTAAGGAGACCTGTTTTAAGAGGTTATAAGTACTGGGCTAAAATGAAGAAGGGGAATTGAAGAGAAATTTGGGGAAATTTTGACAAAGGGGAAGTTCGAGGAACACTGAGCAAGAAATTCTGGAATGATTGCCTGTGATCAGAAGACTCCCCCACGGGCTCCTGTTCGGATGCCCTTGACCCCGTAGTTCTTCCTTCTGAAACTGCCTGGAACCAGTGTGTCGCAGCAAGCTTCCTGCAATGAGGGAGAAAGGGGCCCCCAAGAAGCGCACACCGCCCTGCCCTGCCCGGGAAGGGGCCCTGGGCAGCCGGATTGGAACAAAGACCCGGATCCTGGCTTTCTTCTGTTTCCTTCGCAGTAGGGGAGGGGTGTGCTGGCTGCCAGGACGCCCTCTGAGCCCGAGGAAACTCTCTGCCCAGACTGTCCGGCCCCCTCCCCGCCCCCTGACAGCTCCGTGCCCTCCTCTGCCTGTCACCAGCGGCCCTGGAAGGTCACTGGGGCACAGAGCATCTCCCACCATCTCCCTCTGTTTTCATCCTCGCTCTGAAGGGAGCTTGTGGTTCAGGGGACAGCACCTCCAACAGGAAAGGAGCCCGAGCCAGCGCCAGGGTCAAAGTCCCGCACGTCTCTGAATCCGAGGGACCCTTCGGATGCTTGGGATTAGGGGGAGGGATGGGACCAGAGTTGTTGTGACTGAGGGGAAGTGAGTCAAGGGAAGAAAAGCCCTGATTTAATTCTTGCGGACGAAGGAGTGAGTGGAGCTGCCAGACCACAAAATAACACCCCAACCGACTAACCCACTTCGGGCTGCTGAGGGCGAGAGCACCAGGGCAAGGCACACGGAACCTAGGATGTGGGTCCAGGAAGATCTGAGTCTGATGACCAAACCAGATGTCTCCCCTCCTTTCTGCAAATCTGCACTTCTCAGGCCCCGTCTATAAAAAAGAGGCTGGTTTCCCGATGGAGCCGGGGGGCTCGGGGGGAGTTGGGGGCGGGAGATTTTCCTTTGTTGGACAAGGAGGTGTGGACGCTCTAAGTGGAAGAGCTCAGGCCATCTGAGGCAGGCTGGCTCTGAGATGTGCCAACAACAAAATTCCTACGGTTTCCTCTAAAAGAGTCAGAGATGAGACATTAGTCAACCCCAGGGCAGCAACTGGGTCCATCTACTCAACCCCAGGGCAGCAACTCACTTCCAGGGAAACCAAACCAGCACCCTGAGGTCCCAGGCTGCCAAGAAGTGCCAGAGGTGGTCTCAGCCTTCAGCCCACAGAAATGTTTGGGCAAAATCATCTTCCAGCAAGCCATGTCCATCATCAGATGGATGGATAAACAAGATGTGGTCCATGCAGATGGTGGCATATTATCCAGCCTTAAAAAGGAAGGAAATTCTGACCCATGCTATGATATGGATGGACCTTGGGAGCATTATGCCCAGTGAAATAAGTCAGACCCAAAAGGACAAACACCATATAAGCCCATTTATATGAGGTACCTGGAATAGTCAGATTCATAGAAATAGTAAGTAGGATGGTGGTTGCCAGGGGAATGGGGAGTTCGGGTTTCCCCGGTACAGAGCTTCAGTTTGGGAAGATGAAAGTTTGGAGGTGGACGGTGGTGACGGCTGCAAAACAATGTGAAGGAACTTAATGCCGCTGAACTTACACTCAGAAATGGTTAAAATGGTAAATTTTGTTATGTGTATTTTACCACAATAAAAAAGGTATACGGTAAGGAGACACCATCCTTCAGACACTTGCCGTGGCCTCTCCTGCCGTGGGCGCCGATGCTGGGGGACCGGCAGACTCCTGCCCTTCGCTCTCCTCTTGGTCCTGTCACATCACACGGTTAAGGTTTCTTCCCCTCTTCTTCCAGAATTTAAGGGACACTGAGGAAACGATGAACGCAGTGAAGAGAGAGCTCTTGTGTGTGCTGCTGCTCTGTGGAGCTGTCTTCAGTTCACCCAGCCAGGTGGGTGTGCCCTCTTGTCTGTGCTGGCACACACCTGGACACACTCCCCTTGGTGGACGATGCTCGGGATCCAGGCTTCCAGCGGAACCCTAGGCACTCGTTCTGACTTGAGTAAACACTGCCTCTCGATGCCTTCTTTGGGGCTGTTTTTTTTTTTTTTTTTTTTCTTTCCAAAAAAAAATCCTCTGATTTTCTAACTGATAGAAAGATGCTTCCCTGATGGATAGTCTATTTCAAAGTGGGGTGAAGAAGTGAAGGACCTGACAGGAAATATGTAGAGTTTCATCAGCCTTCCCATTTTCAGCTTTCATTTTCATCCTTTTCATTTCTACTCTTTCATTTCCATATGCCTGCATTTCCAGGGCCCTGGCTCTCCAGGGTTCTTTAAGGCCAATCTCTCCCTGTTCGCTGTTCCTATAACCCCCTTTCCATCATCACTGGGAACCTAGATTTTCTCATCCTAATTCTTCAGTCACCATTGCTCCACCTAATTTTGTTTCCCAGAAATCCGCTGAAATCTCTCATGCATGGACAGCTCCCCTCTTGTTGGCTTCATTAGAAAAAGAAAAAAATCCTTTTTTATCATTTAGTAACATTTTGGAAGGGAGAAGAGACAAATATGTAGACAGACAGCCATCTTGAACTGGGAACCCTTTGTATTTCTAATATTCTATGAGGGTACACGGGCCTTTCACTGTTGTGGCCTCTCCCATTGCGGAGCACAGGCTCCGGATGCGCAGGCTCAGCGGCCACGGCTCACGGGCCCAGCCGCTCCGCGGCATGTGGGATCCCCCTGGACCGGGGCATGAACCCGTGTCCCCTGCATCGGCAGGCGGACTCTCAACCACTGCGCCACCAGGGAAGCCCTTTGGGGCTGTTTTTAAAGGATGTGTCTGAATGAATCCATAAAGTATTTATAAAAGACAGTACAGGCGCTGTGAGCCATGGAAGCAGGCGAGCTGCCCGTGTACTGTGTACTATCTACTTGGGATGGAAGCTACACAACACACGTGCTCTCTGCAGATGCCTGGCAGCTCAGGGCATCGTTCAGGCCACGTGAGCGATGCCCTCACAGCAGGATTTTAGAGAAGGGAGAGTTGGGGCAGCTATTTGGAGGAGGTGGGATTGCGGGGGCCGGTGTGGTGCATGCAACCCCACTAACCCACATGTGCCTATTTTAATTCAAAATTAATTAAAGTTAAATAAAATTTAAAATTCACTTCAGTCACACCACATTTGAAGTGCTCAGTCGTCACATGTGACCAGTGGCTACTGCATCGCACGGCCTGGACGTTAAACATTTCCATCATTCAGAAAGTCCTTTTGGACAGGACTAGTCTAGAAGGGGGGAAAGAATTAGACAGGAAGGCAGGTGTTGGACATTCCACCTGGGCCCATTATCTGAGGGGGATACTCTGGGCAGGTGGCCTCTGATTGGTGGGTTGATGGTGGTCTTCTGGTTTAACCACTGTTATTCCTAAGACACCCAGCATGTGCTAACCCTTCCTCCGCCCCTGGTTTCTTTGCAGGAAATCCACAGGCGACTCAGGAGAGGAGCCAGATCGCACAGAGGTGGAGGTGAGATGTCACTGGGGTGGAGGCAAGTCAGGCTCAAGGTCAGGGTCAGGGTCAGGGTGCTTTAGGCTCCAGCGGGGATTTTTTTCCACATGACCTGCTTACTCAAAATCCATGAAGGTGAGACTCTGCTAAGATGCTTTTGTCCTGTCTCGCCACTCACACAGACTCTGAGGGGACAGGAACAGGTCCTCAAGGGGTCAGGATGCCTGGGAGTCACTCGCTGCTGGGAGCCTGCAAGCCCAATGGCACAAAGGAAAATGGATTAGAATATTACACAGATGAGAACAGAGCCCAGAGAGACGGAATGACTTGCCCAGGGTCACACAGCCGCCAGGCTGCACGGTCCTGGTCCTCCAGGGCCTTTCCCTGGGCTGTGATCCCCACCGCCTCCCACTCCATTCAGCATCTTTGTTAACTAGCTTCTCTGTGCCTCTGTTCCTTCAGTTGGTAACTCAGGGATGACTAACCTGGGTTGCTTCACGGAAGTGCTGTGGGAAGACCATCTCTGTGAGGCCGTGTCTAGAGTTGAGACTAGAAACCCAAGGAACATTCCCACTAGGATCCCAAGAATAAAACGTGCTCACGGCCCGACTGTCTTGACTCTGATCTAAAGAGCTGCAGGCCCCGCTGCAGGTCCCAGATCATCCCTCCTCCCTCATGACCTACCTCTTTTGGGGCTGGAAGGCTCTGCAACACCCATTTAAGGTGGAAGTTTCCCCAGAGTGAGTCACAGCTTAACTCTCACTGCTTCCGCGGTCAGATAACACGGTGCTTCCTGCAGGCCAACGCTGGTCCCGATGGCCCTCTAAAGAAACAGCAGTATTGTTGACAATGAACGTATGTCACTGCTTCAATTCATTACAAGTTAAAGACGTTTTAAGTTCGCGTTCTGGGTTGCAAAAAGAGAGAGAAAAAGGGAAAGTGTAGTAATGGGAGTGCTTCAACTATTTTCATTACACCAAAGTACTGATGCGAGTAGCAAATTTTCTGCACAGACTAAAATGTCAATTTTCTTTGTTTGGGACCAGAAATGCATCGTCTCAGTGTGGTAATGCTAATGTGGATCAAAAATTCTGGTAGGCAATTGCGTACATGTGCATATTTTTGATGAATTAAAATGAAAAATTAGAGTATTACCTAATAAATGTGTTTTGATAGATAAACTCTTTCAAAACAAGGGCCCATCAGAGGAAAAACAATAAAAGGGGTCTTCTTAATTGTTTTTCATAAGTGTATTTCATTGAAACTAAAATAAGGAAATAGTAGAAATACACCATTATATTCTATTATATATTTCAAGAAAATAACTGATTTTCATAGGAAATTGAATGTAAAGATCACACAGTCATATGGAAAGTAATATTGGCACTGCCCCCTAATAAATTGAATCTGAAATTGTTTTTGAAAACTGAAAGGGGTCTTTGGTGACAAAATATGGGGTATTTGTTGTCTTCTGGCTGAGAGCAAGGAACAAATAAAGGACGGATTACCCCAAAAGTGAGCAGGATTGCCGGGGTTGGGGGTTGGGGTGGGGGTAGCGTCAGTTTGGGGTGAGTAGGGCCCTAAAGAGGCCAGCCTGTCTGTCGTTACAGTGACCTGCAGAGACGAGAAAACACAGATGACATACCTGCAACATGAGTCCTGGCTGCGGCCCCTGCTCAGGGGCAACAGGGTGGAGCACTGCTGGTGCAACGGTGGCTGGGCCCAGTGCCACTCGGTGCCCGTCAACAGTACGTGTCCACCCAAGCCAGGCTGTGAGCCTCGAGTCCAGTCTCACGGCCCCAGCCCTGTCTGTCACGGTCCCGGGCCTTTCTACCCTTCATGTGGGGCTGCAGGCACGCTCTGCCCTAGGTCAAGGTGAAGGTGCCAAGCAGAAAGCATGAGGCCGTGAGCCTCAGTTTGCTCATCTGTAAAATGGGAGAACAGTCGTTCAGACGTCGTGGTCGACTGTGAGGAGTGAATGAGTTCGTTTTTGTGGAGTGCTCGGAATCGTGTGTGCATGTAGACAGCACGCTCCAACTTTGACTCATATATTCTTGGGCTGCTTGGAAAGTAATTAGGGGTTCCCTTGCTTCTACTCGACAGGTTGCAGCAAACCTCGGTGCTTCAATAGGGGGACATGTTGGCAGGCCCTCTATTCTTCAGAGTTTGTCTGCCAGTGCCCTGAAGGGTTCATTGGGAAACGCTGTGAAATAGGTGAGTGATAGGTGGGTGGCTGTGAGACAGGGACCCACCAGGGTGAAATCCCACTTGCAAACCTACCCAGGAAGGAAAGCAAGTGTGCAGTGATGGGGGAAGGATTGGGGTGGGATGGGATGGGTCATCCGAGGGTGGTTAGGGCCTCGGGCACAAATCTGGAGGCTGGCGCGGTCCCCGCCAGCGGGGTGACCCAGTCACCCAAGCAGCTCAGCAGCTACTGCCTCAGTGGTTTGAGGTGAGACCCCCTTTGGAAACTAAATGAAAGGAGGATTCACACGGGAGGTGTTGTGTGTCCTGTTTCCCCTCAGATGCCAGCGCCACATGCTACAAGGACCGGGGCATCACCTACAGAGGCACGTGGAGCACAGCGGAGAGCGGGGCCGAGTGCGTCAACTGGAACAGCAGCAGCCTGGCCATGAAGCCCTACAGTGGGCGCAGGCCTGATGCCATCAGGCTGGGCCTCGGGAATCACAACTACTGCAGGTGAGAGGGCCGCCTTCCCCGCCCTGCGGGATCTTCTCTGCTGAGAAGCTGCCACAGTCGGGGAAAGACCTGCGTCAACTCTGTCAGGGTTTCCAGAGAAGTTATAGGAGATGTGTATACATAAAGAGATTTATTTTAAGGAATTGGCTCATGTGATTGCGGGAGCTGGTAGGTCTGGAATCTGTAGGCAGGCTCCCGAAGCTGGAAACTCAGACCCGAGTCAATACTGCAGTCCTGAGACAACTTCTCAGCTTTTGCTCTTAGTGCCTTCAACTGATTAGATGCAGCCCACCCACACTGTGGAGGGGAATCTCCTTTATTTAAAGTCTGCTGACTGCAAATGTGAACCACATTGACCCGGCCCTTCCCAGCACCACCGAGGTTGGCGTTTGATCAAACAACTGGGCGCAGTAGCCAAGTTAGCCCAGAAAGCTCACCATCACGGTGCAACCCTTGTCAACGTGGCAGCCACGTGCACCTCCGTTAACCACGCTTAATTTCCAAATAAAGACGATTACAAGGTAATACCTCCACCCAACACGATCTGACTCTCCTGTATACAACAAACACGCGTAACTCTATCCCCGGAGGAGGTGCAGAGCCCTTGGCCCGAGAGGCGGGCCTCACTCTTCACCTCCCCTGGCCTTCCTGGCTGATTTTTCAGAAACCCAGACCAAGACTCAAAGCCCTGGTGCTACATCTTCAAGGCAGGGAAGTACATCTCCGAGTTCTGCAGCACGCCGGCCTGCGGCAACGGTAAGTGCAGCCTCCCCATGGCCTCTATGGCCTCACGGGGGAAAGGGTCTGGGGGACAGCGCCGATGGTCCTTCTGCAAACGAGGAAACAAAGGACTGGGCTGGTAGTTAATCATATCCGTGTCAGAGGGAAGGAAGTCAAGAGGCTTAGGTCCTCGCTCAAGCTTGGCATCTAACTAGCTGTTTGACCTTGAGCTGATCTCTGCACAGCTCTGACCCTCTGTTTCCTCATCAACAGAGAAGATGGGGCTGTATCGGTGATTTCCAGTCCCTTTGAGAAGGCATGGAGGTTCTCTCTTCTTTGATTAATGGACCTGTTTCTCAAGATCTCTCTCTGTCTCTGTAAAGACTTTTTTTTTTTTTTTTCCTTGCGTTATGCGGGCCTCTCACTGTTGTGGCCTCTCCCATTTGCGGAGCACAGGCTCCGGACGCGCAGGCTCAGTGGCCATGGCTCACGGGCCCAGCCGCTCCGCGGCATGTGGGATCTTCCCGAAACGGGGCACGAACCCGCGTCTCCTGCATCGGCAGGCGGACTCTCAAGCACTGCGCCACCAGGGAAGCCCTCTGTAAAGACTTTTAATGTGAGAAAATTTCCCAGATTGAAAAAACACTCAGTTACAAAAAGGTACTGTGAATTCAGTGGTGCTTTCGCAAATGATGATGTTATTTATCACAGTAGTAGGGAAAATGTGTTTTAAAGTTCTAAATATACATTTACAGAAATTGTGTGCATTCAGTCTACAGGTGACGCTGATATTCCTGTGAATTGAAGAACTCTTTAGAGTAACTCTAAAGCCTCCTCCCCACCCCCCAGCTCGGGTATAAATTGGGAGTCACTGGTCCCGATGACCTTAAAGGTCCCTTATCACTGTGCTATCTGTGCCTGGTAGTATACTTTGTCAGTTTCACGTGGGGAGAAAAGAGAGTAAAATGGGACAAATATGCAGCATTTGAAGGTTCATACTCTCCCTTCCTTCCCAAGTCCAACAAATCCTTCAGGTCCCTAGCAGACAATATCTGAGAAAACTGGCTCTGCCCACGTGTCCCCCCATTGAAGCACCCAGGTTTCCAGCAGCCTGTCAAGTATACACAAGGAAGCCCCTAATTGCTTTCCAAGCAGCTCCAGGAATAATCCCCGCTAGCTGAACTCAGCACCCTTTCCTGCCGAACCTGAATATCCCTCAGAGTCTCTCTTAACACAGCCATCAAGGAAGCCACAGCCCATGATGGAGGCTGGCACCGGCTGGAAGCCACTTACCACCCCATATGAAAGGGCTTGAAGGACAGAAAAAGGGTGGTGGGCTGCCTGCCTTGGGCGTCCCAGGCCGGCAGCGCTGCTTTAGGCCCTGCTGCAAACCCCACTTGCCTGCTTTAGCATTTAAGTGGCTTTGTTTCAGTTTGAGATTTCCTGTATTCCAGAAAAAGATGGGGACTGCTACCAGGGGAAAGGGCTGGCATACCGCGGCACCCGCAGCCTCACCACGTCTGGGGCCTCCTGCCTCCCGTGGAGTTCCATGATCCTGATGGGCAAGATTTACACTGCCTGGAAGAGCAATGCGCAGGCCCTGGGCCTGGGCAAGCACAATCACTGCCGGTGCGCACGCAGCACAGGGTCCGGGGCGTCTGCGCAGAGGGCGGGGTTGGAGCGGGATGGGAGGGGTCTGATGCTGAAAGTTACATGAAAGATCCAGTGGGTGGGAGGGAACCATGGATGTGACCCAGCCCAACCTATTTATTTGCACCTGTCGTGAAAAGGAAAGTCCTCCAGTTCCTTGACCCAAATGCCATGTTAGAGGGTGTGTCCTCATCTGTGCTGTCCTCACGTGGCCCCTTTGTTCCATCCTAAGTCTTCTGGAGATGAAGACGTAATGTTAATGACAGAAGAAAAAAGTTACAATCATTTCCGTCTGGTGGGTCCTGCGGCTGAGCCCAGCCCGGGGCTCAGGGTCCTCCTTCCCAGCTGGGCAGCCTTCCCCTCTTCCCTGGCTTGTGATGTGATTGAAAACCTTCCCTCCTTATGCCCAGGAACCCAGACGGGGACGCCCAGCCTTGGTGCCACGTGCTGAAGGATCGCCAGCTGACATGGGAGTATTGCGACGTGCCCCAGTGTGGTAAGACCAGCTGTGGCCACCTCCCCGTGCCCAGCCTCACTCCTGACCGTGTCCTCTGCCGCTTCCCGTGTCTTCCAGGCTGCTCTCCCGCCTTCTCCCGGAACCCAGTTAACAGGGGGGGCGGGGTTACCCAGAGGGGGCGGAGACCAAGAGAAATGCACGTTGGCACACTTAGCTAAAAAATGAAACTTTAGAAATCATCTGAGAACCGATTGTTATTACTCGGTTCCTGTGAACACACAGATCAGCCAGACTGTTCCTCAGGGCACATAGAGTTTAACTGGGCAGGTAAGACACAAACTACCAGCGAACTCATGACCAAGGTCACGCATGGCGCCTCCTCAGCGGGCAGTACCAGTGGGCTGGCAGTATTAGGAAAACTTCGTGAGGGGGCAGGCTGTCCCGTGGGCCTGGAAGGATAGGTACGGCTGAGTCGATGGGAGAGCAAAGGGGTAGACATTCCCCAGGAAGAAGCGGCAGTGCCTCATTATTTCTTAAGCCAGGAAGTGGCTGCAGGAAAAAAGTAGAGGTAACAAAGCATCGCAGAAAGACCCCTGGCTATGGAGTCAGATCGGGGTTCTAATCCAGGTGCCACTGTGACCTCGGCAAAAAGGTCCCAGCCTCTCTGAAGCTGAGTGCTGTGAGGGTTAAGGATAGTGTCTATACAGTGCTTAGCTCGTCCTGGATACTCACCACATGCAGGCTGTGGATTTATTGCCGTGGAGATGGCTCCATCCCTCGGTACAGCCTGCAGAAGTGAATCAGGGGGTAGAAAGCTGGGTTCCAAGTCAAGACACCAGGATGGGGCTCAGGGTCCTCGCCCAGGCCCACAGGTCTGACCCCGGCTCTGCCTTTCCCTCCCCAGTCACCTGTGGCCTGAGACAGTACAAGCAGCCCCAGCTCCGCATCAAAGGAGGCCTCTTCGCGGACATCACCTCCCACCCGTGGCAGGCCGCCATCTTCGTCAGGAACAGGAGGTCCTCAGGAGAGCGGTTTCTGTGTGGGGGGGTCCTGATCAGCTCCTGTTGGGTGCTGTCGGCCGCCCACTGCTTCCAGGAAAGGTAGGAATGAGAACCCGGCGCGCCCGCCTCCTAAGGCCTTAGGCCAGGCCCATTAGAGAACAGCATCCTCGAGTCATCTCTCCATCAGGTATCCTCCCAACCATCTCAAGGTGGTCCTGGGTAGGACGTACCGGCTGGTCCCTGGAAAGGAGGAGCAGACGTTTGAAGTAGAAAAATACATCGTCCATAAGGAATTCGATGATGACACTTACAACAATGACATAGGTAGGATGTCTGGCTCTCCCTGCTGCCGTGGGAACTCCAGACCCACACGTGTGCAATCCCACCTCCTCCCCCCAGAGCCCCGCCCCCTCCCTCCTCTCCCCTGAAATCCTCGCTCTCTTCCTCGCCCCGCCTCCCAGCGCTGCTGCAGCTGAAATCGGACTCACTGACCTGCGCCCTGGAGAGCAACGCTGTCCGCACCGTCTGCCTCCCAGACGCCGGCCTGCAGCTGCCGGACTGGACAGAGTGCGAGCTGTCTGGCTACGGGAAGCACGAGGCCTGTGAGTGGGAGGACATCTCGGCCCCGTCCTGTCCGCCTGGGGGTGGACTGGAGCACAAGTGCTGACCAGAGGGAGGAAAAAGTGGTCCCACGAGTGTCCACCCTCGGGACAGGCACTGCCACCGTGACCGTGACCGTGAGGGCAAGTTCCTGCCTAGTGAGGCCCCAGCGTCTGCCCTCCCAGCCTCACAGGGTGGCCGTGCAGGTCAAGAGGGGTCTGAGTAGCACAAAGGTTTTAAGAGCCTAAGGTTTCAAGGAGGTTCTGATAAGAAGTGGAGTGAGCTTAGTTAAGGGTGGGGTGCCTGGACTCTGCCGTCGGGTAGCCCTGAGTTCAAATCCTTGCCCTGTACCTTGCAAGCAGTGTGATCCGGACATGGATTTTTATTTCATGATGCTCCAAGCCTCCGTTTACTCAGTGGCAAGAAAAGGACAGATTATGGGGTTTAAATGAGATATTAGGTTAAGCCAGTGGTTCTCAACTGGGGTGATCTTGCCCCTCAGGAAACACTTGGCGATGTCAGTTATTGTGACAACTCAGGATGGAGGTTTATACGAGCCTTTAGTGAGTAGAAGCCAAGGATGCTGCCGAATGTCCACAATGCACGGGACAGCCACCCGCAAAAACATTATCTGGCCCCAATGTCACTCATGCCACTGTTGAGAAACCCTGGGTGAAACTCTATGAAACTGCTGTTTCTGTAGGTCAAAAGAAGAAAATATTGGCCATTTCATAGGATTCAACTTAATACGTGTAAAAGGTTGATAAACGTTAGCTCTTATTGGAAAGTTCGGCTTTCTCTTTCCAAAAGGTTTATAAATAACTTTCCCTAAAACCACAAGATGCCTTCCTCCTCTGTTTCAGCTTCTCCATTCTATTCTGAGCGCCTGAAGGAGGCCCATGTCAGGCTGTACCCATCCAGCCGCTGCACTTCCCAGTATTTGTTTAACAGGACTGTCACCAACAACATGGTGTGTGCCGGAGACACACGAAGCGGTGGGGACCAAGCAAACCTGCATGACGCCTGCCAGGTAAACACGAGCCTCTCTCCTCCCCTGAGCCTCCCCCTCCAAGGGCAGAAGTGCTCCTTGGCCGGCAGGTTCTTAACCAAGAAAAAAAGTGATAGCCGGAAAGCAGTGATTCATCTCACTGAGGTGCTGGGGATCTAGATGAGGACCTCAGAGAATAAAGCAACTGGAGCAAGATCAAAGTCACCCAAACTCGGGGCTTCCCTGGTGGCGCAGTGGTTGGGAGTCCGCCTGCTGATGCAGGGGATGCGGGTTCGTGCCCCGGTCCGGAAGGATCCCACATGCTGCGGAGCGGTTGGGCCCGTGAGCCATGGCCGCTGAGCCTGCGCATCCGGAGCCTGTGCTCTGCAGCGGGAGAGGCCACGGCAGTGAGAGGCCCGCGTAACCTGGTACAGGATTTCCTATAAGCCCAGGCAGTTAAATGACTATCAAAGTGATGGATAAAGCAACACAAATTAAGACATCTTTGACTTCTGTGGGTGCTGGGGAACTGGAGTCCATTGTGTAGAGGGGGAAGTCGGAATGGCAGCTTCCTGGGAAGTAGGACACAGATGATTTGTGAGATAAGTTTTAGGAACTCAAGTTCAGCCCTCAGATGAGGGTTTTCCCCTGGGAAAGCATACTCTTTGGGGGTCTCTGTGTTAGCATCCCTATCAGAGCTAGTACGTACTTGTATTTCATGATAACTGGGTGTAAGACACAGACCAACCTGTGTACTTAGGACCTAAATAGAGCCAAGGAGCCGTCCATGTTGGGCTGTTTTCGTGCCCAGTGTGCCGGGCTCCCCACTGAGGCTGGGGAGGAGGGGATAGAGACAGCAGGGCCGGGCTCTTGCACTGAGGACTGTAGGCTTAGTTCTCATGCGGAGACCACACCAGCATCTCCCCCGCTTTGCTCCTTGACAGCCTCTGGTCCCTCTCTGAAAGGTTTCTTCAGACACCTCCACCACCTAGCTCGACAGTCACAAAAGGTTCTCTGCAAGGTGAAACCGTGATCTATCAGCTAGTGTTACCCACCGGGTGCTTGGCCTCCTTAATCAATGGAAATTGATCAGAGGCCTGACAAGAAATTCAGGCAAGGCTTTACTGGGGACCCTGCAGCTGCAGGGGGAAGCGAGAACAAACAACAGGTTCCCTTGCTTGCTTGCTCGCTGAAGCCGGGAGAGCTGGTCCCTTATAGGAGGAGAGGGTAGGGTAGGGTCCAGGGGTTGGGCAGGAGGGTGTGCTTAGGTGGTGTGTCCACCCCTTAGGTGGTGTTTTGTGCAGGGGGCATGTGTAGTACCCTGCTTTTGCTCCCCGCTCTTCAGAAGTGGCAACTGAGTTTTTTGGTCTTTTGTATCTTTTTGTCTATAATTTGCCCCAACTGTGCATGCACACAGCTATTTTTAGTCCCATACAGTTTCTTTGTATTTTGTTGCTCCAGCAGAGGTGTATCCAGGTGCAAGCATTGCAGCAAAGGGTCCCAGGTCTCAGCCTGTCTCACCAGCAGCAAGTTAAAAGCGAAACCAGAAATCATTTCGATTCAATGACAACAACAGCTAACAATTACCAGGAGTTTTACTAAATGCCACACATTGTTCTCAGAGCTTTTCAAACTTTCTCTCAATTAATTCCCATAACCTTACAAGGGAGGCGGTATGATTTCTATTTTAGATTATTATTATTCAGTATCATTCAGGTAAGAATACTGAAGCCCAGTTAGCCTGGGGCTGCACAGCTAGTAAGTAAGCGGTGGAGTTACAGCCTGGGTGGGGACCTGAAATGTACAAGCAATGATCTCAATTCCGCTTTACCACTGTAGCTACAACCTGATTCTGTAAAGGCCCAAGGTCACTGGAGATAAAATTTCCCTCCCCGAACTGGGCACTTCGAAGAATACACAGGAAGGGCTTCCCTAGTGGCGCAGTGGTTAAGAATCCGCCTGCCAATGCAGGGGACATAGGTTCAAGCCCTGGTCCGGGAAGATCCCACATGCTGTGGAGCAACTAAGCCCATGCGCCACAACTACTGAGCCTGCACTCTAGACCCCACGAGCCACAACTACTGAGCCCACGTGCCACAACTATTGAAGCCTGTGCACCTAGAGCCCGTGCTCCACAAGAGAAGCTACTGCAGTGAGAGGCCCGTGCACCACAATGAAGAGTAGCCCCCGCTTGCTGCAGCTAGAGAGAGTCCATGCTCAGCAACAGACCCAACGCAGCCAAAATAAAAGTAAAATAAATAAATTTATTTTTTTTAAAAAAAGAGTACATAGGAACACTACAAGCATTCACCCTAACCTCCCCGCAAAGAGTCTGCATTTTTGCAAAGAGCTGACCTGTTCTCCCTTCTGCAGGGTGACTCGGGTGGCCCCCTGGTGTGTATGAAGGACAACCACATGATCTTGGTCGGCATCATCAGCTGGGGCCTCGGCTGTGGCCAGAAGGGCGTTCCGGGCGTGTACACCAAGGTTACTAATTACCTGGACTGGGTTCGGGACAACACACGACCATGACCAGGGGCACCGGTTGCCTGCATCACGGAGACCCTGCTTCCTTCACCTCCGAGGGGGCACTGCGGCGGGGGCTTCTTCACGCAGCACAAGTCGGGGAGGATGGATTTCCATAGGTACTTTCCGTTTTGGAAGTTTTCAGGGCTTCAGGTCTGAAACATACTCTGTCAGATGGGAAGAGGGGTAAACGCCAGCCCCTCCTGGAATCCCAGTCCCCGGGACAGAAGCCCACCTCCTCTGTCCACGTTAGCAGCTTTAGAAACGGGACCGCAAAGGTGAAAGCGTGTCTCAGTAGGCAAAGATAACTCGATCCTTCAGGAAAGAAGGGTTAGAAATATTCTATTAGGAATAGAATGTCTATTTCTAGTCACAGGGAAGCCCAGCAGGAGCCTCCTAATAAGGGACGGGCTGGCTGGCCAGATTATGTGCCTCAAATCCAGCCTTCAAATCAAGTGTCAGGGTTTCCCTTTCTCCGGCTATAGCTCTTGGAAGGAATCCTGTTGTGTAGAGTGTAATTCGTTTTTCTTTATAAATTTCATCATAGGACAGGAGACACGTATCATTTTAATAACTAATAAACTAGGCTCTAGCATATTTATATCAGTTCATTTTTGTTTATACTCTGTTGGCACACCTGTATGATACTGTACTGGAATAATAAATTGATATATTTTTCACATATTTTCTACGAATCAGAGTGGAATCGTTCTGTTACATGCAGTATCCGACAGCTTTTATTCATGTTACTTGTGTCCACGTTCTTTGACTCGTTGGAAATATTTCCTTTCATTCATTCAGAATAGCTGCGGCATACAAGGCCCTGTGCCGGGTGATGTAAATGGTACAAAGGGGAAAGAAAGGAGCTCTTGGTTTGACAGGAAGATAGGGATTTAGAGAAATAAGAAGGCTGAATGGAGATGGACCACAAAATAGCAGACAGAAAGTTTTACTGAAATTCAGCTGCAGGAAGGATTCAAGAATCTTTGAGTGCTTGAGGCGCAAGGGGGAGCAGATTATATGTATATGTACAGCTGATTCACTTTTTGTTATAAAGTAAAGAAAGAAAAATTAAAAAAAAGAATCTTAAGGACAAAATAGAATTACGTAGGCCTGTCGAAAACTGGGCAAGATTTGGGCTGGTGGAGAGGGATGGGAAAGGCATTCTTTTTAAAAATTTTTTTGAAATTCTGTTTTATCGAGGTAGAGTTGATTTACAATGTTGTTAGTTTCTACTGCGCAGCAAAGGGATTCAGTTACACACATACACACGTTCTCTTTCATATTCTTTTCCACTGTGGTTTGTCATAGGATATTGAATATAGTTCCTGAGGCAAGGAATATCACTGCATGAAAATCTAAAGATCTGGAGGGCGAAAAAGGCAGGGGGAGTCTGGGGAGGAACTGAGTTATAGTTTGTCCAAAGTGAAGTTCATGAAGAATGTAGGTTGGAATTTAATTACGGCGCTTTGGATGCCAAACCGAGCTTTGGACTTACTTCTGTTGGCAACAGGGAAGCACAGAGGCTTGGGCTAGGGGAGTGATGGACGGAGCGAGGCTCGAGGAAGTTAGCCCTGTGAGCAAGACTAGGTAGGGAGACTCCCCGGGTGGGACCCAAGTATAAAGGAGGAATGAGGGATAAGAAGATGCTAAGCATGACCTTGCTGACACAGCGACATCCCAATTGTTAGTTCAGACTAGGAGCTAGTATTAGGGCCAGTTTTTCCCAGTCCATTTTGCTTTTCTGCTCATTAGAAAGAATTCACTCCCAGACCGGTCCACACAAGTATGTTACTTAAGTAATGCTGCTTTCTGCCTCTCTTAGACTTTCTTAACTACTCTTGAGATGCAACCCATACTCCTGGCTGCTGCCTGACAGTGTTTGTTATCACTGACACCCCAGATACAAGCATAAATATGATGCCATTCTCGCTGTTGCGTAAGTGCCGACTGTTCCTTGGAACAAACGAGGTCATAGTTGTCTCTCTCTCCAGGCTGTCAGAACTGCTCAGCTTAGAGGTTCTTAGAAGAAAAGTAGTTTCAACTCACAAAGGAAAGAGACTCTCTAAAGCCCAAGAGCTTGGTTCAGGGGGGAAAACACCAATTTCCCTGAAGTGCTCAAGTCCCTGGACCAGTTCAATAAACGTGCGTCACAGGAATGTAAGTCACAGATTTCCTGACTTTAGCCTGCTGGCTTACAAGTTCCCCTGTGAAAGTGGCAGGTTTTGTCCTAGACAGATGTGCATCTTAGCCATTTCGGAAAAACACTGCTGGAGGACAGCAGTAAGGAAGACCCCGAGCATCTCTGGCCAGAGTTGAGCTGGTTTCACCCCCGCCCTCCTTGCAGGACAAGCTTTTCTTTGGGTAGCTGGGTTAATGAAATGAACTGAAGCAGTGAGGGCTCCTTTGATGGAAATGCAAAGTTAAAAGGCCCCAACATTCCTCTGAGTGAAGTCCTGGAAACCAAAGGCTGCATGAAGACAGGTGCTTAGCAGAGGCCAGTGACTGAGCTCCAGGCAGAGTCCCAGCCCTGCAGGACTGATTCATGTGGATGAGGCTAAAACACACTCAAAGCACAACACATCATTAACCGGTGTGGGTGAGAAAAGTCAGGGTAAACTGTCAGGGGAAGGAAATGGGTATAAGGGGAAATTAAGTAGCATTTCTTTACTATCCCCAGCTGGTTAATATTGATAAAACAGATAGATGCTAATAGACCCAAAGAACAAAAAAGATTCTCAGATAATTGTGCAAATTGTTTTAATGGGTAAAGGCCTAGAGGAACTCAATGATTGAAACTCCGACCCCCCTGGAGCCCCAATCTTAAGTCAGCTTGTCAAAAGAGTGTCATAAACTTTGGTTCCACATTTAACTCTGAAAGCCAAAGACCCACAAAGTCCCCAGTACTTGGGATCTTGGGGAAAAGTTTAAGCTTTTCGAATTCAATTCCCTTTTAAAAATTCTAACAATTACAAAAATTAATGTCATTGCTGGCACTGAGTCACCACCTACTGGCCATAGAGGAAAGTACAAATGTTATAAAATGTACCCGGTCACACCACAAGGTTAGGGAAACAGCCCGACCAAAGGAAGAGATGTGAACGACTGAAACAGATAGGATGGGGTAGTAATAAACACTCAACAACACTGTGGTTAGAAAACAGAAAGAAGTGTTAGTCTCCCCCAGGCCACGAGGGACCTAGAGAAGGAAACCAGGACAGACGTAGAAGTACCCTAGTCTACACTTCACAGGAGACTCCGGGAAATCTCCACTACAATTAGGATGACTGCGACCTCAGAGCCCTGTTTCACGCCCTAATTAATCAACCCAGGAAGATCGAGAGGAAGAGGAAAGCACTAGAATAGACGCCAGCAGTTTGGATGGTTTTGTCTTTCACACGCTAGGCCGGACATAATTTGATGGCTCTGGACCTTTGTTCTCACAACCTTCAAAATGACATATGGCTTCAGGTCTGCTGGTCGGAAAGTGCAGAAGCAGTGAGATCCCCATGAACTGGTTTCTTTCTTCCTGCTTCCACTGGGGCGTGTGTGCACGGCATCACCGCTAGTCCTAGTAACATGACCCTCAGGACATTAAGGACTGTTAACACTCAACTTTATTAACATTTAAACACAGCAGATGCTTCTGCATGTTAAACACATATGGGACCGAGCGGTTCGGCAGAGGCGCCCGGCCCCGCCTATGCTAACACACCACCGGCTGGAGGGGGTGGCCAGGGGTCTGCAGCCCAGGGGTGCCTCCCATGCAAAGGCCTGTGGGTCCCACAGCCCCGGTGCTTTATTTCTCCTTAAGTTCTTCCCTTGAAATTAGGATAAGCTGCCCTGGAGGGACAGCTGGACTTATAAACCTAAGAATATTCAGGGACCAGTATTGGTTGTTTCCTATGACCGAGGAAACCCTGAAATCCTCCAGAGCCCTCGAGAGAAGCAGCTCCAGTATTCCGGAACCCACAGGCAGAGGCGTCTCCCTTCCACGGCAGGTGTGTGTGGGACCTGGGAATCCAGGACAAGTTCTGGAGTGGAGTATGAGACACGTGCTGGCTGTCCCCAGCACAACTGACCCCAGAGGAAAACCATAAAGCAACAGTATTCTGCAGCAAAAACAAGTCCAGGAAGTAGGAAGAGAAGACTAGAACAAAAAAATTGCTGAAGTATTTGGAAACAGGGTTTTAGAGAAAAATTGTAGGGTTTGGAAAGTACAAGGTCTTCATTTTTCTCCCTGCATGAAGCAGGGTGCAGTATCACTCCTCAAGGTATAATTTAAAAAACCTGTCTTTTCTATAAATATTTCAGTGGGTAATGGGCGTATTAAACTAGAGTAAAAATTCCCTGCTGGGAACACCTGAGGTCTGCCTTCAGTTGCCCGTGTTTCTTAAACCAGGCTACACAGGATCAACACGGCCCATCTTCCTACATCAGTTTTATTCAACGATTCAGGAGATTTTTTTGTCTTAAAACAAAAACCGACTGGTCGATATACATTGTTAATGAATATATTATATAGTGGAGACTCCGAGGAAATAACTTTACTGGGCAGCTCCCAGGACTGGCCGTGCCCTCGGTGGTCAGCATCCTTCTCACTTAGGGTCACAACTGGAAAAGCTGCAGACGGGAAGGTCGGACTGCAGCACCAGGGCAGCACTGACAGACATGAACAAGGAACCACTGGGTCACAGAGGTGGCACGAGGGGGCCATCTACACTCCGATACTATGACACACAACCTGCTGCCCTGGGGGTGATGGGATTGGCTTCTCTGAAGCGCTCCTCGGGGAACAGGAATTCTGTAGAATGAAGTGAGTGGAGCCGTTAGGGGGTTAGGGAGAGAGGCATTTCAGGCAACACCCCCTGGAAGAGGGCAGCTCATCCTCGCTGAAGATGCCAGGCCACGTGCTGGAAGCATGCAGCGGTCAGTATTGGAAAACCGGTCGGAGAGCATCGTAGTCTTTAAGGGAAAATCTGATGCTACTGGGGTTTCCATGTCAACAGTGCACTCGAATTTAAGAAGTTTCCAGTGCATTTCCAGAAGTACAAATTTTTATGTTTGTATGAAAGCGGAGGGGTCAAAAAGAAACTCACTCAACTCTGTTCCTCCCAGCCACCCTACAGGTGGAGCTGGACAGCTCCTCCCACCTTCCTCATTTCAGCGAGCGGTGTGCGCATGTGCTTCAGGCCCCCCCCCCCACCCCGAGAACAGAGCCTTCTCCGGCCCTTCCTCGGCTGACAGTCCTTCTCTTCCAAGCTTGCTCTCTCTTTCTAATCTTTCTTCCCAGCTTGACATACAAAAACAGGACTTCCCTGGTGACGCGGTGGTTAAGAATCCACCTGCCAATACAGGGGACACGGGTTCAAGCGCTGGTCCAGGAAGATCCCACGTGCCGCAGAGCAACTAAGCCCGCGAGCCACAACTACTGAAGCTCAAGTGTGCCTAGAGCTCGTGCACCACAACAAGAGAAGCCACTGCAGTGAGAATCCCCTGCACTGTAATGAAGAGTAGCCCCCGCTCGCCGCAACTAGAGAAAGCCCGTGCGCAGCAACAAAGACCCAACGCAGCCAAAAATAACTAAAAATAAAATAAATTAATTAAAAAAAACAAACAAAACTAAAGAAGTTTTTCCTTAGCTTCAGATAATTAAAGCCAAGCGAGTAACAAATGCTGGTCTTTTCCTGTGGTAACCATGTCACAAGTAGTTACATACGGCATCAAGTACCTCCCCCTGCAACGCACGCCTCTGCTTTGAGAACTGACTTGGTGCTGCTGGTGTGTGGGTTCCGCGCAAGCCTCCCTGACGGCCCGGCCTCCCTTCGTTAGCTCCGGGGCACTGAAGCTAAGGGAAAACAGGAGCAGGTGGTCCAGAGTGGGCAGTGACCTAGGAAAGGGCTGACAGTTTTTACTTTTAGACAAGTAAGCAATGAAAAAGTGTTCATGACTGTTCCCTTTGCAGAACTCTCCCTTCAGGTTCGAACTTGGAACTTGCCAGCTTTGGTCATGTATTTTATGCCCTTAAAGGGTTTGTACTTCTCTCCATACATATCCAGACGATTCACTTTGAGTCCTGGAAGGAAGGAAGAACAAGACATAAGCATTATTCAAAAGAAGCAGGTAGCAGAACTGTTTAGGTTCATTTCAACTCAAAGAGATCTGTGGGCTAGAAAAAGCTGCCACAGTGAACTGGAAAATACCCGCCCTCACTTCTATCACTTAAATGCAGCCGACAGATACTTCCCTCTTGGTACACAGGCCGAAAATAAAACCCTGCCCCAGTGAAAAGCTAGCCTATTCGGAGACACATCCCTGAAGTGGAAAGGGCAGAAAGGGATACGCAGGCTGAAATGAGGGCAAGGGAAAATTAAGACCGCTCCAGATTTTTCTCAAGTTATGGGGTTGAACATATGAATTAATAATAATAACAAAATTAAACAAATTCATAATCAAATAAAGGTATAACTAAATGAATAAATTAATGATGAAAAGTGATGAACTAATACATGAGTGCTTCCTAAATATTCTCACTACACTAAGAAAGGAACATTTTATACTGTGCAGAGCTTTAAAGTTTATTAAGTATTTTAAGATGAAAGAGCTTATTTAAATGAATTCTAATCACTTAAACTAGACAAGATCCGTTGGTAAAAAAGAACAGGAACTTCATATAAAGCTGAAGTCATCTCCTATCCATCTGAAAGGGTTGTTCTAAGGACTAAATAAGAAAATAGATGAAAAGAGCTTAAACCAGTGCCTGGCACATAGTAAACTACCTGCAGGGCGTAGACTATAGTCAATGACTCGGATTGGCCCGAGGGTTCCCAATGATAACAGCACCTGTGAAATCTTCTGAAACTGGGGGAAAGGAGGGGAGGGGAATTCTTCTTCAGTCATCAGCTGAGAATGCGGACACATCCCCCTACTGAAAACCCTGGGACCCCAATCAGCAGGCCCAGGGTGACTCAGCCTCGGCCTGTGAACACTTCTGTCTCCGATACTGTTTCCTTCTCACATGTGTCTCAGACACTTTTATTCACGTCACTTAAGCCAACTTTGAGGTGAGGATTACGGACTTTCTCCAGAAATGTGCTAGGAAAGATCTGACTAAAGATCATGTATCCGGTAACGAAACACAACTCTGCAGACAGGGAGCCGCCGGGAGGCTTTGCGATGTCGCTCACTGCCTTGGCCACTCGCCCGCCCCACAACCTCGGGCTGGGTGTCACTCACCAGAAATGGCCAGCTGCTGGATCTTAAACTGCAGGTTAATCGTGGGGTTCTCATCGGGTTTGGAAGCTCCAGCCTGAAGACTCATGGTCCCCTTCAAACTGGGGAGCTTTTGGGGATTTATTTTTCCTACATCCCAAGACAGCATCTCCAAAGAAACAGGAAAGAAGTTACAGTGGAACCTTCATCTGAGGTGCCGGAGCTCAGGGTATCTGTTCACAGTATTCCTAGAGGCCTCCAGGGTGTTTCCCAGCAGAGAATACTATTTGTTACCATCAATTATCTCAGTGTCCTAAACAATGCCCCTTTGATCCATCTCCCCTTTCCACAAGATATAAAGGGCTCCCACAGAGTTCCTGCTATTTATAACAACGGCAGCTCAAGCCTCCCACTTATTCTCCTACCTTGGTGACCGGGTCAAACGTGTGCGTGCCCTGAGACGGCGTGAGGTTCATGCTCAGGACGCCTCTGGGCATCTGGCTGCTGACCGTCACCCCCTCGATGGTCTTCCCCATAGTCTGCTTAGGGCCCACCGTTATTTCAAAGCGGCCAAGAGAACTACTGTCCCGGAAGCTGATGTTATGTTTGACATAAACTGGAATCGCCACCAGGCTGGAAAAGAGAGAGACAAAACGCCCATGTCGTTAATGTACCGGAAAAATGGCCACACTTCCCTTTTTTTGCCCCGCTGGCAGCCTTTCCTCCCTCACCTGCTTCCTTATCTTACAAAGTTAAGCACAGAAAAACCCTCTAGACATCTTTAATTATTTTCTTTTTGTAAAGCTAAGATGCTGACTAGTAAGTAAACTAATTATTCTAATGACTCTTTAAATGATATCAACAAAACCAAAGAGCAGACCCGGAAGACTATGAGAAAAAGGCGTAGCAAACAAAAGCCGCGTTTCTGTGTTTTACTTTGTGACATGTGACCAATAATTATTTGTACTTGGGAGGGTAATATTCATACCTCACGGAGCTTTTACAATTTCTAGAGAGTGCTTTTACCTGACTTTGATCCTTAAAAAACCCTAAGGAGTAGGGTTGTCATCTGACAGAAGAGGAAACACAGAAGCTACAGGATGATACTAAAGTTGTAACCATCCTTAGCATCTGTGGAGCACTTCCTGTGGCGAGTGCTACTCTAAAGGTTTTCTCTCTATTAGCTCATTTAATCCTCCCTGTAAGTATGAAGTAGGCACTGCCTCTGTTCTGATGTCATGAATACTGACATCCTCGTACGTAACTGAGGTTAACTAACTTGCCATGGTCATATATCATAAGTACTACGGGTGGGGCTTAAGTGTGGGCAGTCTGATTCCAGAGCCTCTGCCCTCAGGCGCTCAGACATTTCCCTAC